GGGGGGTGCACCGAGAGAAGACTACACGCCGAGAGGAGGGGGCTGGAAGTCTGAGACGCTTCCAGCCTGAAGGGGCCGGCGGGTTTTGGCCATAGTACCCGGACAAGCTAGCTTGTACCCGCGCAGCTAAGTGAATGGGATGGAGCCGGGACCGTCTGGCGCTGGTAGGTCTATTTTTTGTACTTAGTGTTTAATAAAAAAAATGTTATCAGTCCGCATACCTGAGTTATGGCTGCTGCAAATACATAGACTGCAACTGAGGAAAAAAGGGGAGCTTGGTGAGAACAACGTCTGTTGCATCGTTACAGAGGGAGATGGAGATGGAGGTGGAGGATGGGGGGCTCCCTTGTAGTCTGCATGCACACCACTTTGTAGACAACGTTATTATTTATCCAGATTTATAGCTGTACACGAGCCTTTTGAGGGAGCGCTGACAATGTCCTCAGCCATGCGCGGGGCCAGGGGAGGTCGTGGGAATCTGGGGTGACGAGGGATGAGGTGAAGCCCGCCTTCAAGCACCACCACAGCAGCAGCAGCTGGCTGCACCCAGAACTCCCCACACAGCCTCCCTTTTCACTGACATGGTTATGGATGCTCACACTGTTCAGGTTCTTCCGAAGAGTGTTAAAAATCTGTGCACATTACACACACATCAGGGACACAGGTTTAAACATCTGCAGAGACGCATGAATTATTTATATGTGTTGAACCAAAAATAATCCTCAATTGTGATACCCGTGCATCTGCTGTCAGAGTTCACAGAAGCTCTTTCTTTTTTTAGACTTGGGAAAGACTGAGAAGCATGTGCAGTGTGCATTGCAGTTATCTGTGGGGTTTCGGTCTGCATGCTTTATGTGCTTCAGATGTGCTGATCAGGGGCAGTGCTGGTCTTTATTTGGCAGTTGTCTTGGATGGCTGAGGTGTGGAAGCAGCCAATTGAAACACAAGGTAGTGTTTGTCTTCATGCCCAGGTCTAAAGTCCAGCTATCACGGAACATCTTGAACCCTAGCACTTATAATCCCGCCTTGAGTCTGTCTTGTACTTTTGGAAGGCAGGGTTAACTTGAATGCTGTCTATTGTTTTTTAAAGGAGATAGTGAGCTCATAGAGGACCTGTTAACTGCATCATTTGGATGGCGTCTTTACAAGAGATTGAAATTACGTTGTCAATCCATGACACTGAGCATGGAATTCAGTTGAATAGGCTTGTTTTTATTTTTTAGGATTGGGGGGGAGGGGCCCCTCATCTCAAAGTCTGCTTTTGTGTTTTGAAGTGTGATTATTCAACGTGCTATTTTCCAAGATAGAGCTGATTGCCATGTTTAGCTCGTGGTCAACAGCCAATTATTCAGAGAGCCAAAACTGTTTGGCCCAAAACAATTGAAGTATAATTGTCTGTTCCTCCTCATTCATGCACTTGGTCATGATCTCCTGATGAGGGAAGGGGTCACCACTGCTCCCTGTTTTGAGATTGTATAGCCTTGTTTCTTTTGCGATGTGAATTATTTTAATTGTTTCACTGTTGTCCTCCAGATGTCACCAAAAGGATCACTAAATGAACCAAAATAAAGGGGGTAAAACATGTACATGTTTCCCTTGATAGTCGTCCTTTCCCCATGTGACCTGGTCTTACTTGCTTGTTACGTCACCGTAGACAGAAAGTTGTGAGTTGTGTCTTCATGTCGTGATGCAGCACCGAACCTCTGCTTTAAGTCTTGCCGCCCTGGGAAAAGCGCGCTATTGTCTTGGGATGTGTGAAAGCGCTGGCTCCGCTTCCCACCATCTGCCTTCACTGGCACGAGGGCGAAGTGTGCGTCATTGTGTGAGTGCGCGGCGATCACAACTCACCCGAGACACACATGCGCACACACACACACACACACACACACATACTTGCTCTCCTGCACATGGAGGTCAACACATGTCTGGCGTCTGGGTTTGTGGTGTTTGTCCGATTTGTGTGATTTTTACACGTAGACACACATGAAGCAGAGCCATCTTTCTGTGTTTCATGGCTGGCGTTACTCTTCCTGTTAGTTTGGCATTTTCCAAAAAGCTCAGTGAGCTTATGATTGAGTGGTACGAGGATTTCCATCGCAGCTATTTCAAGCAGGGCTTTTCCCGTTTGGGATACACAATGTAGTGACCAGAAAGGCCAAGGTCTCTTCAATATGACCACAGCGGCACCCTGCCTCCTCCCATCTCCTCCAACAGCCATACACACACACAGAGACACACAGACAGAGGTCCCCTGATATCCATGACAATGCTGTGTTGCCGTGGTGTCTCCATGGTGAGGCTGGGAATGTAGAGGGGGCCCCCTGTGTGTGTGTGTATGAGGGTGTGTGTGTGTGTGTGTGTGTTCACCGTAGCAAGGGCGCTCCCTCTATTCCGTACACCCGTGTGTGTGTGTGTGTGTGTGTGTGTGTGAGAGAGAGAGACAGAGGAGCAGGGCAGCTGGGGTCTTTGTTGTGGTGGAGGAGGGCTGTTCTCTGGGGACCCAGAGGTTAAGGCACTGGGCCCCTCTCAGGCAGGAGTCACACAGCCAGCCTCACATCTAGCACCTAGTCCTGGACCCTCCCTATGTTAAGACCTCCTGACATGATGGTCACTGATCAGTGGATGCGGCGGGCTACTTGTTACTTCCTCTGCCAATGAAATGCTGGTTGGTCTATAAAATGTTTAAAATAAGAGTGGAGTATGCCGAAATCCGCTCCCAGAGCCTTCCTCTGCTTTCACTTGTTCCCTTTCTTGTTCTTGCCATTGCTTTGCCTCCTCATTCCTACCATCTCTGCCTCTGAACCGCCTCCCCTCTGTCACCCGTCTTCATCGATGGCTCCCTGTCTCCTTGTCTCTCCAGTGCCCATGGGGGACTTCCCCCCACCCCTGCAGCAGGTGTTCCATGCCCCCCGCCGGCCAGGCATGGGTACCGTGGGCAAGCCCATCAAGCTGCTGGCCAACTACTTCGAGGTGGAGATCCCAAAGATTGACGTCTATCACTACGAGGTGGAGATTAAGCCTGACAAGTGCCCGCGGAGAGTCAACAGGTAACAGGACGGTGCTACCCCTTCATCTGGTTACAGTGTGATCAGTACTCGTCTGTTGTCATGTATCAGAAGTGGTTATTTATTTAATTGTGGCAGCAAGGTATGCATTCTTGCAATGTAACTGGTTAAAAAGTATCCGTTTACTATCGTTTGGCTTATATTTCTTTTGAATATGGCCCATAATCAAAAACATTTGGCCACCCCTGCCTTACATAGGTTGGTCTTACTAGCTTTAATGTGCATTATGTTTGCACCATGCATCTCTGTTATGCAGGTAAAGAAATTAGTTTGAAATGCGGTATAAACCAGAATATTTTGTCATAAATGACTCTAATCAGGGGCAAAAAAACCTGAACCCTGTGACCTTCTTTTAATATTTTCAGGCAATGAAACGTATTTTCCTAACTAAAAAAAGTCCATCCATCTGTGCAGGATCAGGCTAAAATAAAACACCTAAGTATGCATGGGTTTCACTTCATATTAAGCAGTAGGCCTGCAGTAGCTGTGTCCGAGTCACCGGACTGGACAGATGGTCAAGGGTGGGGCTCACTTCACGGACTCTTTCACCTTGGCTGGTGTAAAAACAGTCACTGATTTGAGACGGGTTCTTAGGATATTCTTCTGGTCGGTTCACTCTCGAAGTATTCAGGCAAACTATGCTACTTGCTACATGCTCGCAATCTCAGTATATGTTTTTTCATGAAACCATTAATTCCTAGACAGTTTTTAATGGCCCCCTTAACAAAATATAAACAAGACACAGTTGCAACAAACATTCGTATTTAAAGGTACAATTATAAAATCCAGGGGCGAATATTCTGTCCGTCTGCACGCCACACAATACATATCTATCATCATGTTTGATCCAAGAATATGTACCCCTTCATAAAGGCATGAATGCCAACTTCCCATTTCCTCAGCTCTCTCTGCTTTAGACTACAATTGTAGTGTCACACTACAAGTGGCTGTCAACAAGATACGACGTGTGTGTGAGTGTGTGTGTGTGTGTGTGTGTCTTTTGTGTGGAGTTGTGTGTCCGGTATCAGGGACAGGCTAGAAGCAGGAATATGATGTATGTGTCTTGGCATTAGCCCAATCTATGAACTCTCAGGTTTACTGTCCCAGTGCTGCCGACTAACAGCCTCGGCCCTTTTGGAGACTCGTCAATAATCATTTAGAAAGATGGGCTGTAAAATGGTGAGATTAGAATCAATCTAGGAAGCCCTGATAGATGGTCTGTGGGTTTTATTACTGATCAAAAATTGCATCTGGCTATTAGAAGCAAGATGCTAGTTTACAAATGTTAGGTAGCTATTATTGTCAAGTTTGTTTTAGACTTATACAACTTTAATGATAAAAAATTATGTTTTTGCGTATTTCCTCCAGACCAATTAATTATTTCCCCCAAAAACTGAAAAGAATAACTTGACATTATGTGTTTATCTGTATTTAAACAGCCCTGACTTAATACTAGTGGCCTCATATAGCATTTTCTCTTTGATTAAATAGGTAATTTTGTTGTTAAGCAGAAAGACGAGAGCTCTCTTGGAGACTCCTTGAGCTTTGCTGTCCTCCCAATTATCAAGGATGTGAACAGAAATGGAAACAAATCGATTACAAATACTCGGTTAGTGAACAGTAGTTTGCTCAGAATCAGAATTCTAAGGAAGAAAGTTGCACGTGTTGATACACCTGCTCTAACACTCAGAGAGGGTCTCTTCTGGTTTCACTGGTTGGAGACAAAGGTTCTAAGAAGGCGTGCAAAGGTCAAGCCCTTTGACCTTTTTCTATTGAGAACAACTCCTCACCCACTCCCCCCCCCCCCCCCCCCCCCACACACACACACACACACACACACACACACTTCTATGAAGGCCAAGGCACCGTGCATTGAAAAGTGGGCCCCTGCCCACACCCTCATTCTTTTTGTCCCGGCCTCTCCCCCTGTGACCATGAGATATTGCACCCAACAGCTGCATCCTGCTTGGTCAATTTTCTATCATCTTTAGAACTGTCCCCCCCCCCCCCCCCCCCCCCCCACCCCCCCACCCACACCTGATCAGGCGATGGTTTTAATTGGCAGAGCGGAGTCTCTTTCTTGCATTTTGCCACGCGTTAACCCCATACTGTGTGTGTGTGTGTGTGTGTGTGTGTGTGTGTGTGTGTGTGTGTGTGTGTGTGTGTGTGTGTGTGTGTGTGTGTGTGTGTGTGTCTCGCGTCCTACAGGGAGGTGGTGGAATACATGGTGCAACACTTCAAGCCCCAGCTCTTTGGCGACAGGAAGCCAGTGTATGACGGCAAGAAGAACATCTACACGGTGCTAGCGCTTCCAATCGGGAGTGAGAAGGTAGATGTTTGAAGTTGCTTTGCTTTATGTCGTTACACGTTGCTATCGTCACCAACTCATTTCTCCTCGGGGATCAATAGTCGATCTTAAGCCCCGTTTGAACAGGACTTACACTGTTTCTCCAGGGGAGGAAGGGTTGTATGAAAAACACTGAATAGAAAGGGGCTATTTATCTGCTGTAAAGCACACGTCTGTCCCAGTATTCACAACAATCTGTTTTATGGAACACTAACTGTCTAGTTTTGGACTCCTCCGGTTGCAAAAACAAATCAGATTGTATGCAAGTCAATGAGAAAATGACTTCTCACTTGATTTATTACCTCAGTAAACATGGCAAACTTGAGTTTATGGTCTCAATCTCTAGTATCAAGTCTTTTTCAATGCAGCATGATGTTCATTTGGTAAATGATGGTCCATTTAGAGTCAAATAGACCTTAAAGCAGCACTAGCTGCATCTCCCAGTTTCCAGTCTTAATGCTAAGCTAAGCGGCTGGCTGTAGCTTCATATTTACACACTTGAACGTCGTATTGATTTTCTCATCCAACTCTTGGCTTGGTGGCTTTTGAACCACCCTCTTTAGTGTGAAATGCCTTCTTGAATAAGGAATCTTGCATGAAATAGAGTTTCCAGCATACTGCACAGCATGATAATGATCTCTTTCTTGCTTATAGTTCATCTTCATTCAATTTCTGGTTGTTGTTCTCCTCCTTCAGCCTTGTTCTTTACCTCCCCTCTCCGTTTCTGTCTTTCCTGTCCTCTATTTCTCCAGGTGGATTTTGAGGTAACCATCCCAGGTGAGGGCAAAGATCGAATCTTCAAGGTGTCCATCCGTTGGCTGGCCAAAGTGTCATGGCGCCTGCTGCAGGAGACTCTGGTCAGTGGTCGGCTGCAGGTCCCCCTCGACTCGGTCCAAGCCCTGGATGTGGCCATGCGCCACCTGGCCTCTATGAGGTACACCACTGTTACCCACAGACACAAACACTCATACATACATACGGCAACACCCCGACTCCTGTCAAATTAAAGTTATATTCATGTACATCTTAAAAGCAGATTGGGAAGTAATGTTTTTACCTTGTTGGCAAAATAACTGGACAGTTCCACTTGCATAACATCAGACCGTCATAGCTCCAGGGGTCAGAGTCACTAAACAAAGGTTGTTAGCCGAGACCTGTGTGAATGTATCCACTGAACAATGCGGAGCAGGGGTATAACGATAACTCTTCAAGCCACAGTTTGTGAGAAGTTAAGTGGTAATGTTTCCCCGTGTTTTGTCTGTTTCAGATCAACACGACACTTTTCTTTGTTACTCCTATTTTAGTGTTTTTCCATTCAGGTTTATTGTTGACTTATTGTGAAACCTCCTGCATGAGATACATTACTGGATATGAACTCATGCTGAGGTCATGCTTTGAAATAAGTCAAGTCTTTATTGCACATTCGTCATTTTCTCCTCCCTCCCCACCTCCTCCAATTAGGTACACTCCAGTGGGCCGCTCATTTTTCTCCCCACCTGAAGGATACTACCACCCACTGGGTGGGGGGAGGGAAGTCTGGTTTGGCTTCCACCAGTCTGTGCGCCCCGCCATGTGGAAGATGATGCTCAACATTGACGGTGAGTCACCAAGTGACTGATCTCATTTTTGTTTTACTGACATTGCATGACTGGGCAGAAACCGTCAGACAGTCAGAAATGGTGAAAATAAAAGTAATCTGGTACCAAGGAGGATTTGAATCACCAATCATTATTTGATTTATAATTATGATATAAATACAGGCTTCTATTGGCTGATTGTAACATTATTTTGGCTCTGATAAATACCTAAAATGGTGACGTGAGGGCGTAACAAAAGTTGCGGGCATCCGTCAACCTTTTGTGAAGTTGCTCTTCTCTGACCTGTGTGGACTTATTGCTGCGCTCTGTCTCCCCCTAGTGTCGGCCACGGCCTTCTACAAAGCCCAGCCTGTAATCGAGTTCATGTGTGAAGTTTTGGACATCCGCAATATCGACGAGCAGCCCAAGACTCTCACGGACTCGCAAAGGGTCCGCTTCACCAAGGAGATTAAAGGTGGGTTACTGGAAAGTGTGAAAGTGCCGCCTAAACACAGCATGATGAGCCCTCAACACCTTCACGTCTCTGTCTGAAGATTATTTTTACCTGCATTTCAAAAATGTTACTAGACCTTATAAATTACTGCCACATGTAACAAGCAACATTTTCCTTTTAAGCTCTTTTAATTACTTTGCTTCTAATTATCATGTCTGTCCTTCTGTGTCTGTGTTTTGCCTGTCTACACCCCTCATTATTGGGATGACCAGGCCTGAAGGTGGAGGTGACTCACTGTGGCCAAATGAAGAGGAAGTATCGTGTATGCAATGTCACCCGACGACCTGCCAGCCACCAAACGTGAGGACGCAGACGTCATTGAATTTAATTGTCAAATGCACCCATTGTTTATCTTTATGCGTACATCTACGTTATTAGGATTTCCCCTGCATCTGAGGAACCATGAAGATAAGGCAAATTAGAACCGTGACGGATTGTGGAAACGACAACACAGAGTCCTCCTGTTACTCTGTAGTTACAGTTGCCTGATTCTGATGTTTGCATGAATGAGTGAATGAAAAGGAGAAATGCAGAGGTAGAGAAGAATACTGAACGGCTGTCTCCACAGTTGACGCCCACACTGTTTTATGGTTATTTATTTTTGCTTAAGTGGCGTCTGTCTTGTTCACTCCGTCCCTCACTGGTCCTCACAACAGCCTCTCCCTCTGTCTCTCTTCATCTGACTCATTTGTTGGCTCTTTCTTTGCACCTGGAACTCTCCTAGAGGAACTATATTAATCTCTAGTCCCTGCCGACGCAGGCAACGCTCCTGATTTCCTCAAAAGGTTCTCAATCCCCCGGGAAGTTTTTGCATTGGAAAGGTTCCTCTTTATAAAAAAAAGTATTTATCAGTATTTTATCCAAAATTATTTATTTTTAGTGCTGTAATTATATTACAATACAATAAATTTGGTTATAAAATGAAAACAAAGATAAATAATTGCTTGCTGCCAACTGAGTGAACGACTTAAAGTCTTAACATTAACATTTTAACATCAACCTGGATGAATCAGCAAACCAGGAGCTGGCCAGTGACGCATTGCAATGACCGTGACATTTGTCACTGATGCGCCACACACTCATGACCACACGGGTGGATCCACTCGAAATCTTCTGTTTATTATTACAGCAAAGGCAACTTCCTCCTCCTTTTTACCAGCTCACACCATAGTTACGTATGTTTCTTGTCTTGTCAACCAGGTTTCCCCTCCAGCTCGAAAGTGGGCAGACAGTAGAATGTACAGTGGCCCAGTACTTCAAGCAGAAGTACAACCTGCAGCTAAAATACCCCCACCTACCCTGTCTACAGGTGGGGCAGGAGCAGAAGCACACCTACCTGCCTCTGGAGGTGAGGAAGGACTAACGACACCATGTACACTGACTTTAAAAACTAGTTTGAGATGCATCCAGGATTAATGCGATTCATGTGAACAACCAATATTTACACCCCAATGACTCTGGATTTACTTGTTTCAGGTGTGTAACATTGTAGCAGGTCAGCGGTGCATCAAGAAGCTGACAGATAATCAGACCTCCACCATGATCAAAGCCACAGCTCGCTCTGCACCCGACAGACAAGAGGAGATCACCAGGCTGGTGAGTAGTAGAGACAACTGTTAGAGGGAGGCCACACAGCGGATGTAACGACAGTGTATGGGAACGTATGATGTTTTTTCTCTCGCCACAGATGAAGAACGCTAACTTCAACCTGGACCCGTACATCCAGGAGTTTGGGATCAAGGTGAAAGATGACATGGCTGAGGTGACGGGCAGGGTGCTCCCAGCCCCTATCCTGCAGTATGGAGGACGGGTAATACACTTTTATTATTTTAAATAAAATCAGTTTTTGATGTTATGATGGGAGTGTATGGAAGTAGGGACACTCCAAACTCCTCTGGTCCTCTCTTCCACAGAACCGTGCCATAGCAACCCCCAACCAGGGAGTGTGGGACATGAGGGGGAAGCAGTTCTATAACGGCATCGAGATCAAAGTGTGGGCGATTGCCTGCTTTGCCCCCCAGAAGCAGTGCAGAGAAGAGGTGCTCAAGTAAGTACTAATGAGTGGTAACAGTGGGAATTAAAAATCCCCTCATGATTCTTTGGCTGTTTAGCATTTAATAGTGGTAAGTCATTAGATTCTTTTAATTTCGCTGCTAGCGAGAGAAAGAAATTTGCATCCACAACGCCATATTTGACCTACATTTGGTATCTGAAACACAGCGATTCATTTTTTTTAATAATATCATTGATACTATTTCCTGATGCCAGGGCAGAGATACAGTGCAAGGCAACAGTAAAGTATGAAAAGCCTTAGCTTGCTGAACTTTGTCTCAACTACTCTGGTTTTCTCTTCAGGAACTTCACAGACCAGCTACGTAAGATCTCAAAGGATGCCGGGATGCCGATTCAGGGTCAGCCATGTTTCTGTAAATACGCCCAGGGAGCGGACAGCGTGGAGCCCATGTTCAGACACCTGAAGAACACCTACGCCGGCCTGCAGCTCATCATCGTCATCCTGCCGGGAAAGACTCCTGTCTATGGTTAGAAAACTGCTTTAAAATAAATATCACATTCGAGCCCAGAGAAATGCTTGGTGGTAAGGACTACTCTGGGACTGTTCACTTTTTTTGATGCTCACTTTTTGTACCCACCCATAGCCGAGGTAAAGCGTGTGGGAGACACCCTCTTGGGCATGGCCACGCAGTGCGTCCAGGTGAAGAACGTGGTGAAGACGTCCCCTCAGACCCTCTCCAACCTCTGCCTCAAGATCAACGTGAAGCTGGGAGGCATCAACAACATCCTGGTGCCTCACCAACGGTGAGCTTTTGTTCGGGCTGCTTTTGAATTAGTTGTACACATTTATGGCAGGAGGACCACGGTGAGAATTTAAATAATAGTTATGTCACATATATAAACAGGTGTTTGCACCTAAGATGCATTTATGAGCGAATGTAATTTGTATCTCCTCCTCCATCATTTGCATTCTCAGGTCAGCAGTGTTTCAGCAGCCGGTTATCTTCCTGGGAGCAGATGTCACGCACCCCCCTGCTGGAGATGGCAAGAAGCCCTCCATTACTGCTGTAAGTCTCCCAAATGACACCTTTATTAAACAACACTAGTTGTCCTTGAACACAAGCTCAGGAAAAAAGAAGGGAGTGTGCAAATATTGCATGTCACACATGATCGGGGCATGCATGTAAAAGACATGTGTGGCCTTCAATACATTCAGGTGTTATTTAGGTAGAGTAGTGGCCATTATAAGAGGAACAGCAGCATGAGCCATTGTGTTAGTGTCGCTCCAACATTCAGACGGCTAACAGTGGAACTATATCTGGTGAGTAGTTGCCTTTTAAGAACGATGGATCGTTGCCAACAGGGATTTGATCAAAGCCAAAACATTTTTTGTCAAATCTATTTGTAAGTATAAGTGATATAAAGAGAAGGAGATCTAAATCATTTTTAAGAATTGCCACAGTGTAGTGTGGCTTCTCTGATGGCAGTGCTGATGCTAAGTTGGCAGGGGCACTCCTTTTTATAGGCAAAAAAAAAAAACAACGCAATTATGTAAATTATGCAAATAACCTCAAGATGTCATAGGAAAGCAAACACATGGTCGTGGTTGCTTGGTGACAGTGGCGCTGTGTGACAGCGATGCTGTAAAAGAAGAATCCTGCAGCCATAAATAGTATGTTTGAGGCAGAAGAGCTTTAACACCTTTTGGATCTTTAACACAGACAACAAGTCAATCAAAACACTAGAGACCAGTGTCATTACAATCAGCTCATACATGAATATTTATTATCAACTTGACTGTTACGGTAACATGATTGCACAATAGAAATGGGGAAATGCGATGATGATTTTTGAGTGCTTGATCGATGGATCATCATCACCTTGAGCTCTGGTAGCTTTGGATGGGCATTTGTAATTCATTTGACATTTTCATTAAAACATCATTAATTAAAGCCCTACTTTATAGCTTTAATAAGTATAAGCACCCTCAGGCAGCTCATAACACTTAACAAGCAATTAAGCCTGAAGAAAAGCCGTGCTTTGAAAGTCCATGTCCTGAGTCTGACGTTTAGTTATTGCTCGGATACACAATATATGAGGCTGAACGCAAAAAAAAAAAAAAAAAACAGAAGGCAGTCAGCGAGGGGTCAGGGAGGGATGAAGGGAAACAACTGGCTCATCTCTGACTCACATTCCAAAAGGAAATGACGTCAGCCG